CGTGCAGTGATTCTCGACAAGTATATATTGTGTACGTGCAGCGATTCTCGACATGTATATATCGTGTACGTGCAGTGATTCTCGACAAGTATATATCGTGTACGTGCAGCGCTTCTCGACATGTATATATCGTGTACGTGCAGTGATTTATCGACATGTGTATATCGTGAACATTAAGTAACTCTCCCAGAAAAATATAATGATATCATGTATTTTCTTTGGTGGATTAAGTAGGTCATATGCATTTTACTTTGAAACAATACTAACACATAGAGATACTCTTCTGGGCGCCTTCTTTACTTTGTGCTAATAAATAGTTGTCTATTTTGGCATTTGTTTGATTCTTACAAATATGGGACGTTCTAATATTCTAATCACACGCAATCTACTCTTGAACCAATAACGCACATGATCACTCTATTAACCAACCTATAAACGTTGTTTTTTAGCAAAATAAGTTAATAAAGATTGGTAAATATAACTGACAGGTATGAAACAAAGAAAATGGGTTTTTAGTTATTAAGCTACAGACATTGATCTTTAAATGTAACATTCTATCTAATGTTAGTTAAAAAGTAACATACAGTTTTCATGTAGACATTAATATATATATTACATTTTTATGTATCGTACGTTATATATATATATAGTAAGATATACTTATACTTCAATATATGAGACTAACCTATTATTAAAGTTTCTTTAAAGGTATGAATTTCTGAGCTTTGTGACAGTGTGTTAATTATCTTTTTCTTGATATACATAACTGTTTGTGAACATTGGATATCTGTATATGTTTATGTCTTGTAAACTAAGTTAATAATTATTAGAATATATATATAGATGAATACCACGATAATGCTTCGACAATAAAGACATGTCTTACACGAAAAAGATGTAATGGTGGCTATTCAGAATAAGAAATCTTTGAGATATAACAGGCTATTATTATTATTATTATTAGACTGCCTCCATCTCCAGATGTACCGAGACAGCAAAGATCGATGTAAGAATGTACCAACCAAGGCCTCTCTTTCTCTGGAAAAGTTCCTGGGTTTGGAAACTGGGTTTACTCTGGACAAAGAGAGCAACACAATGGCTGTCATCTGTTTCGATATGGTTGTACTGCTCGCCTTCGACTCTAGAGAACTTCTCATACAATGGCAAGTTAAAATTAGATCCAACGTAGTGGAAGGTAGGTGTTTCGGTGACTTCTTTATTTTATAAGAAGAGTTGTTTGTTATCTAATATTTACATCCTAAAGAATCATACCTAATATTTACATCCTAAAGGATCATATCTAATATTTACATCCTAAAGTCATCTGGTACGACATATGGGCTAAACGATCATATTAGAGGATGCTATCTAATATTTACATCCTAAAGGATCATACCTAATATTTACATCCCAAAGGATCATAGCTAATATTTACATCCTAAAGGATCATAGCTAATATTTACATCCTAAAGGATCATAGCTAATATTTACATCCTAAAGGATCATACCTAATATTTACAACCTAAAGTCATCTGGTATGACATATGGGCTAAATGACCATATTAGAGGATCCTATAGTTCAGACATAGCAATTCCTAATTTAGAACTGCTTGAATCTCGTATCTTCCGATTTACAGCTAATCATTAGGCCATACTTGAGCTTTATACGTAAAGAAATGCAGAAAGTCAACAAATGTTATCAATAAACTGCATAATGTTCCTTATGTAAAATATGTCTTATTTTTATATAGTTGGATGACTAAATATCACTAATGTTTCCTCGAAACACATTAAACATATTAAAAAAAAAACGTGTAATAGCCTGTTTTAGAAATAATCCAAACCTAACTATATTGTTGATAACTATGACCAACGATGGTGAGAAAGTTCATGACCTTACTGCATAATGCCAATACTCACAACCAATAAAAAGCTATTTCAGGTATCATTGTTTTTGCCAGGTAACTTTGAACTGTTTTTCATAACACATGAACTCTCCCTTATCCAGAGGTACAACGGTGGTAGGGATCAGATTATCCAATTTTGGTAAAACCTATAAAGAATGTAGCATACGATGAGATATGACGATTACAATTTACAGTTTCCAAATATGACAATAACTGATCGAGTTATGACTGGCCACATCAGCAGCAGAACATCCATAGTTAGTGACAGTACTTAATTGTTGTGTACCCGTCTGGTCCGCTACATGAGCCTTCTTCTTCTGTCGTCCTTGCATCTGTTTTTCAGACCAGAGCCTGATAGATCTTCAGCAGATAGATCCAAGTCCTGCTGACCGTAACTGTAACTTTGCTACTCTTCGGTACGTCATCATCAATCACTGTTATTTTCTTGATTACCTGCACGTGCAAGATTCAGACATTCTCAACTTACAACTCTTGCAGCCGCTTTGAAAGCGACCACGGTAAATTCTTTGATGGTCCTTGTTGAGGCAAATTTATCTGTCAAGTTCAAAGATACTGTGGCAACACTCAAAAATGGGTTTTGTGTTGACAAGGACAGTACGGCTCTGCCAGATCAGAACATAAGTAACAAGGTCTCCAGCTTCAGATAATGAGAAAAGTCACATAATTTGATTCGAGGTTCAAAAGAGATAATTAATTCATGTGTGTGACTGTTGCTGATAAGGTGGTGCGGCTATTTCGAAACCCTTTGTCTCTTTGACTGTTCATAACTCCAGCCTGAAATACGTTACCATCAAATGGATTGCAGAACTGGTATACAACAAACTCCAGACTTTCCAACAGTGTATGCTATATCTCGAAGAAACAATTACCAGAATTTTCCATCTCTTGCTCTGATAACCAAAAACACTACTATTCGTCACTGGTTGAGGGAGAAATCCTGTGTTAAAGTTTGGACATTGTAAATAAAGAACATCTAACATAATTGCCTACATTTGTGTTTCGTCTGTTTAGACCTTAAAATATTCTACTCTTTATTAAGTAACGTTGCGTGTTTGTAAATTTATTTGTTCGCGAACTCTCCCCCCCCCTTCACAGTTTTGGAGTTAACGGGGCCACACTTGGCAGGCGGACTCGGGGTGTGTGCCCTTATCTGTATGACGTAGCTCCCTGTCAAGAGCGTAAAACACCTACGAAAGGTCACTCAGGTATGCTGGAGAGCTTAAATGTGGCATCGGATTTTGTGTTCGTATCCCCACCCTCCGGATCCCGGGGGTGCCATGCTTGAAACTATGTTCATACTCCATCCAACTCACAAGCCAGAGGGACCGAACTTGGCACGCGTGCTCAGGTACCACAGGTGTCTTAACGGGTTGTGTTTTCGACTACAAACCCTCCTAAATGTAGCTATAAAAGTAATTGGGGATAATGGGGGAATTTGGGGGGCCTCTGTGCATCATGGGGGTGTTTTAGAAACTTGCATCGAAGCGCGAGTGTTTTATGCTAGTAAGCAGAAATCACGTAAAGCATGATAGTAACAATGTGACTTATAAAGTATACGTGGTTTCAAATTTGTGGTTGACTTCTTTTGTTTTTAAAATGTAAAGAAACATTTGGCATCTTGCGATCTACTTAAACATACACAAGGTGTATTTGAATTATTCTACAGTAAAGTGTTGTCTATACGCCATTGAATTATTATGTTTTCAGAGCACGAAGTTTATAAGATATATTCACACATAACAGGGAGATTAATTTACAACTTATGGAAACGCGTGTACATTAGCTACCATTTATTTACAAATATTGAGATGGTTCAAGAATACATGCTAGAAATCTGGCCCGCATATAAAAGCAAGCCATGCTGACAAAGTCTGTAAAATTATAAAACTTGATCCTTTTAGGTGGAGTATGTGATCTCTATTTCAGAATAGAACTTTTCATATTGGGAGTTTTTTTCAGTTTTTTCCATTGAAGCGGAAAACTCGCACAGCAAAACATTTAGGGCTTCGAAGACAATACTCCAAGACATTTAGGTTTCATCTATATTGAGAAAACTATCGTTACGTCAAACAAGTCCCTCGGTGGGACAGCGGTAAGTCTACGGATTTACAATGCTTAAATCCGGGGTTCGATTCCCTGCAGATAACCCAGTATAGCTTTGCTCTAGAACAAACAAACCAAACGTAAAAGAACTCTACAACCCACGAAGCCATTAAGATGAAGCTCTAAAAGGATAATGAAAAAATATTTGAAGTTGAAGAAGGCTCATTAGTCAAAAGTTTTTGTGAGAAAAAATTATCATAGTAATTCCGTTCGATCACGTACTCGCCAAGTCCCAAGATGTAATATAACTGATTTTCTGTGCCTGATATCTGTTTAAAAATGCGCTTGTGGATCATTAACCTAAGATATTAGCCAATGTTTGGAAATATGCACAAGAAAAGGTGGATATGACTGTTTACTGAAGAGTTGTGTTCTCGTGAAATATTTGCTGTTGGATCATTGTTAAAACGTAGGATTATGAGCACCAGAAAAAGAAAATATGGTCTTCAGTACTAGTTTGTTGGAACTTATAGTTTCCAGAACGTGTATATGTTTGACTGAAAAGCATTACAGAATGTTTACTATTATAGAATTATATGCACCAGCAGGTATTACAGCGTATTTTTCCTTCCGTAGTTTAAATGTAAACCACAGTTAAACTTTTAAGTATGAAGAGATCTTGACAGAAAAGATGAAACCAGAGCCTACGTTAAGGGTTTTTCAGAACCACACAGTCAGTTAACATTGATTTGGAGACATGTATTATACACTAGCTAAACTCGAACAAACTAAAGCTGGACTATACTAGCATGTGCACGGTGTTCTTTCTCCCAGCGAAATTTGTATCATGCACCGTGATTGGTTAAAAAAAAAGCAAAACTGGCAAACAGTGTGTTAATTGGAAGGCTCACCTACACGTTAAACGCACTGTGAAAATACTATGCTTCTCCTGGCCAACCGGAATATGAAGTTAGCTTATCTAACTTACCGTTTCGTAATCGCTCATTGGGAACTTGAATCTGAACATTAGTCTATTCTATTATACAATATATGATGAGATGCACATTAAAATTGGCCTAAGTATTGAACATAATTGCATTCAGTTTGATATACCAAGATTTAAAGGTGTAATATAATTAGTTATACTAGATTTGAAAAAAAAAAGTCGAAAATGTTTAATTTTTAGGTCTACAAGTTAGTGTGGCATGTGTTCAAACTTACAACAATAAAAAGTAAGTTGATTTACTTTCTGTAAAGTATTGCTGTAGTGCACGATCTAAACATATCTCTAAATTGAGCATTACCAACGGCTGTTTGTCTAATTCTGGAAATTAATCGACATTATATCTCTAGAATTGTCATTAATATCACTTGATATATCTCAAAATAGGCCCGGCATGGTCAGGTGGTTAGGGCGCTCGACTCGCAATCTGAGGGGTGCGGGTTCGAATCCCCATCACACCAAACAGCCGTGGGGGCGTTATAATGTGCAGTCAATCC